GTTTACAATTCCAAGAATATTATTGGATCCAGGCAGGCCCACTGCCAGGAGCCAGGAAAACAAAGCCCTGATAGCATAGGTTTATTGATTTATCTTTTGTTTCACAGGAGAAAAATAAGCAGATCCTAGTGCTGGGCCTGGATGGAGCGGGAAAAACCAGTGTCCTCTACTCTCTAGCTTCAAACAGAGTCCAGCACAGTGTGGCACCCACCCAAGGTTTCAATGCAGTTTGCATCAACATTGAAGACAGCCAGATGGAATTCCTGGAGAGTAAGCTCTTTCTCATTAGTTACAGGATAGCCACATTTCATTATATCTTAAGCCATACATGATGTTACCAACATTGGGTCCTTATAGAAACTGACACTGGATCAGATTTCCTAGGCTTTTAGAATGTGTGTGTAGTTTAATACTAGGGTGCACCGTGTGAGGGAAAAGCACTTTCTGCTTTTTTCATTTGCTCCTTTTTGCAGTGGTGATAAAGGGGAATTTAGAAGAAGGCTTTAGCACCCCTCCTATAATCTCCTATAATCAGCCTCCTTCTTCCCACACTACTGCAAATAAATATACAATCTAAGTATAGTGTGCTCCTTTCTCTGCAAATGAAATTATAGGTGAGTCTCAAACCTCTTCTTAAAACGCGAGGGCAGTCCAAAAGCCCCTACTGAATAGTAGTTCTGGAGTTACCACCTCTCTAAATATTGCTGAACCCCAGAGCTGGGACAGGTCCTCTTGTCTTCTCTTTACATTCTCTCCTTGGATGATTTCATTCATCCTCATGGCATTAAATACCATCTATATGCCAATGACTCCCAGATTTATCTATCTAACCCAAGCATATCCAAATGTCTCCTTACATCTTCACCTTGATTTCTAATTGGCTTCTCAGACCTACCATGATCAAAACAAAATGCTTGATTTTTCCCGTATCTATTCCTTTCCCTATAATCTTCTGGTCAAAAAATGGCTCCACTGCCATCAACTTGCTCCAGCCAGAAAACTAGGAGTCACCCTTGATTCCTCCTGTATCCCCACCGCCAGTCCACAAGTAAAGCACTATGAATTTTTCTGTCTCCAAAGCCTGTCTGAATTCATCAGTTATATCCTTTTCCACTGCCCCCATGTGGGTCGGAACCTCCATCATCTCTTACTTAAATTATTGCAGTCACCTTTTATTTTTGCTTTCATCCATTTATGAAGTGAAATATTTTAACACATACATTTAAACACATTATTTGCTAACTTAGAACTCTTCAATGGAGATCTCATACTTGGGATAAAATCCAGAGTCTTTGTGATGGCCCAGGAGGACCTTCATAAACTGCCTCCTCTTTAACCTTACTCCAGTGTATTGCACTCCTTCCTTCCTTCCTTCCTTCCTTCCTTCCTTCCTTCCTTCCTTCCTTCCTTTCTCTTTCTTTCTTCCTTCCTTCCTCTATTCCTTTCTCTCCTTTCTTCCCTTCCCTTTCTTACTTTCTGTCCTTTCTTTATTTCTTTCCTTTCTTTCTTGGCCTTCTTGGGTGTGCCTTCCATCAGAAATACTTTCTACCCCACCCGTCCCTTCCCATGATGGCTTCCTCCTCAACCTTCAGGTATTAGCTTAAATGGCCCCATCAAATCATTCTTTCTAAATATGTTCTCCCATTCTCTGCTTCCTCCATAAAGTTTTTAATAACATTCACTTTTTATTTTTATTTGTTTATGATATGCCTGCCCAGCTAGACAGTAACTTTTGCCATGCTTGTTTTGTTCCACGATGTCTGGCAAGTAGAACATATCAACAAAAATGAATTAACTGCCAACTGTGTTCCAGATTTTTGTCACAATCAATACCCTGAAGAAGAATAGTAGTTTAGATTTAAAATATGTATCTGCACAGTGGCTGGATTTAGCTATCAATCTAGGTAAATTCTCTTAATTCCATAGGGCAGGGCTTCTAAGGAGTCTTTTTTCAGGATGCAGCATCCAGTGATATTCAGTGATATCTATAAGGGATAGTATGCTATGTCATAATCCTTGGAGTATGTTGAGGAGTAGGGAGGTGATGAAAGATAAACTAATAAAGTTTTATTGTATAAGCCTATTTGTAGAAATAATGTTCACATATAACTTTTTCTCTCTC